TGTGGAATCTATTGAACACAATAACCTGATGAATAAAATAAAGCCAGAGGCATGGAAACATGGAACAGAGGGATGAATCTCAGAGGAAAGTGGGAGGGACCAGCTGGGATAAGTTAACCAAAGAACTTATATGCATATATGTATTGCCCATGAACATGGAAAATAAGGTAGTGAAGGTCTCAGGTGCGGTGGGAACCAAGTGGAAAGAGTCAAGGGGGAGAAAAATAAGAGGGGCCATCTGTAATTCTCTCAAAAATAAATATTTTTTACAAAACAAATTCCTAAGCCTCACCTCATATCTACTGAATCTTAAACTCCAGGGTAGGCCCAGCAGTCAATGTTTTAACAAGCCCTCCAGCTGATTTTGATTCATGCTAGTATAATTTCTTGATTAAATTTTTTCCCTTTTCTCAGAAACCTCCCACATATATAACGCAGCATGTAACAAAACAGTGGATAAGAAGTACTTGATAAATAGTTGACCTATGAATGTTCAAAACTCCTGTAGTTTTTAAGAGAAAGGAGAATGTTTTGTTCCTACTCTCTCACATTCCACAAATATCAGTAAGACATATAGCCTGCTCTCAGGGAGCCACAGTAGAGTGTGGCAGCCACACAAAGCAAGTGTACTACACTATGCAGTACCGTGTTTATGATGATCATTCTTTCAAAATATCTATCATAATTCTTTTTTTTTAATATATATTTTATTGATTTTCCACAGAGAGGAAAGGAGAAGGATAGAGAGCCAGAAACGTCAATGAGAGAGAAACATTGACCAGCTGCCTCCTGCACATCCCCCACCGGGGATGTGCCCGCAACCAATGCATATGCCCTTGACCGGAATCGAACCTGGGACCTCTCAGTCCACAGACCGATGCTCTATCCACTGAGCCAAACCGGTTTCGGCAATAATTCTTTCATGTCCTTTTCCTCATAACTACCCAGGTTTCTCTCTGGTCATATGTTCCAAATTTTAGTTGAGGAAATGCCATGACCCTAGCCATAATTAAACTAATGAAATGAGGACAGTTGGTATGTAAAGAAAGAAATATTTTAATAGAATTAAGTTCTTAGACTGAAGACAAGACACTGAAGCCATTCCAATATTTTGGCTTGGGTGAGGGTGGAGACAAAACATTTATAATCTGGAGGGCTGTGGGATCCTTCCAACTTTAATATCAATTTACAAGATAAAGTGAGGTATGGTGGAATGGTGAAATAGTCTGGATTGAAATCCCAACTCTATCATATATTTGAAATATAAAGTTTAAGTTATTAAATTTTCCTGAACCACCTATAAAATGAAAACATTAACATTCAGGTCAGACTTGTTAAGTTTTCTAATATTTGGCCTTTTTGACCCCCCAAAACTGAAATGTCACAATATTCTATCTAATATTTTTCTCACAGAATTATCATGAGGATTTAATAAAGTCAATATGTAGAGTGCTCGGGAAATAGTGGGTATTCAGTTAATATCAGATTTAGTCTCCTGATGTGAAAGTGACTGGAATACAGTGTTCAGTAGATGTTCGTGAATAAAACAACTGCAAGAGGCAAACATTTTCACTATATTAATATAAGGTCAGACCTTGATATTCTCACCCTACTTTCATGTGAAGTAGCTTTCTCCATCCTCCATTCCGAATAATTATTTAATTATTATACAGAATCCTCATAGTTTAGAAGGCAACTGTTTTTTATCCTATAATTACTACTTCTATGAGGGATTAAAAAGTAATATATTCTATGCATATTTTCATTATTTAAAGAATTTATAATTCAGTGTTGGTACTTGTCTTGAAGTGTATTTTGAATTGCATATAACACTTAGCCTTATGGCAATTTAGTTTAAGCACAAGTGGCTTATGACAGTCAGTCTTTATTATATTAAAAACATTATTTCCGTTTTTGTTTAGGTTCTCCTGGACATCAAAAAGCCTGAAAAATGACTGAAGAATGGCTTTAACCAGTGGTAACAATGATGTTTCCATTCTGAGGCATCTTTGATAGGTTGGGGACCCTCAATCTATGTAAGTGGCTTACATTCCATGTTCACAGTTGGTCCCCATATACGAGCTAATAATGAAGAATAGTCAGCTTTCAAGGCAAAGACAAGAAGCAGTGATTATGTTACACAGAAAACAATATCACAATCTATGGCTAGCTGAATGTTTAGAAATGAAAGGGGGAAAAAGAACTGAACATGCAGGTTTTTGTTCACCAAGAAAAGCCATTGTGGCATTATTATTTTTGGGTATCAGCATTGACCAGTACTAGAATAACTTGTTTCCATCTTGAATCTTTATCTTAGAGTTAGGGTTCTGTTAAATTTCCCACAGCTCAGAGTCAACATCCAGTTTTGGGTCAAAAGATCATGTAACTTCTGACAGTTGCCAGCAAAAAAAAAACATCTAGAGTGCACATACCTGCCATTTGCTCAGACAGTAGTTCATCAATACTGATTCTACTTTTCATTTCTTTTTATAGCCAGCATAGAAATGTGTCAAAGAAAAAAGATGTGTAGTATCCTCATGCCTTCTCTTCTGATTCATCTTTATCCCCCAGATGGAAACTGTGAAAAAGTCTCTGTGATGGAGAAGCATGGCATTTTGGAATCTCACTCCTTCTTTTTGAAAATTTTGTTTTGTTTCCAACCAGAAGAAGGTAGAAGGTGCAGGTGTCATGGAAAAAGCATAAGACCAAGTAGCCTCACCCATTTCTATTGATTTCACTGGTGAAATAAGGGGGTGTGAATATGTTATGGACCAATGACTACATGTTTCATAAAGTCCCGCTGGCTTTAGCAGTACACATTACAGTCTAGTCCCATTTTATTGAAAAGGAAGAAGAAACATTGCTCTTCTCAGGGAGCTTCTGGCTGTGATTCCGAAGACATCACTATTTCTTTATTAGCTGGGATGCCCTCACCATAAAAAAATTTACAACTTGACTCTAAGCAAGAAGCACAGAGTAGAAAGAGCATTGGATTTATGTTCCTTTAGTACCCTCAGTACCTGATACATAAAAAAGTCCTTATAAAATTTGTGCTGAATAAGCCAAATCGGAAGTCAGAAAATATGGGTGCTATTGTTGGAACAAACCAGTTATATAACATTAGTCAGGTCACTAGTGGTGCCTGGGCACTATGGTGAGGAGACTGCCCCAGGTGACCACTAAGATCTGTCTTAGCTTTAAAATTCTGTGAAGCTGAATTCCAAACAAATTGATTCCTGAAAGCACTTTACAGTTTTCATAGGCTCTCATATTTTGAACGTTTATGAATGGAAAATAGCTATGCTCAGTATAAAAGTTTATAGTGGTCACAATTAGAACACTGTAAGAGCTAATTAGATGATATACTTTCACCTGGAATCTCACAGGATAGGAACATCAGCACCTTAGCTGACTTCCATTTTAAGGAACAGAGCCAGGACAGGGGGATGAGAGAGGAATGTGGAGTGGAGAAGGGGTAAAATGTAGTGATGTTGAACAGTGGGCAGTTGGAGAAACTGAGAAGAAGTGTAAAGGCAGAGTCGGGGTCCAGGGTGGGAGGAGAAGTTGGAGAGAGGAGCAGGATACCTCTGATGGCTTCGACCAGGTTAGAGTTAGTCAAAGGCCTACTGCTATGTGCCACATATGCACATGGCTACTTACTCCTTCCTGTGAGTGCCTGTCCACTTATGCTTAGCAGTTGTTTATACTTTCTGAATTTAACCCCAGCTCTTTGGGTGCTTTCTTAACCTAATCATGATTGAATATCTTCATCTTTGAACTGGGGATTACATGATAATACTTGCAAAATTCTTAGATAAGTGTGCAATGAATGTTAGCTATTAATATTAACAAACATCAAAACATTAATTATTTTTTACTTTTACTACTACTACACATTCATTAGAAGAGACAGGCTAGCTAACAGCTTTAATGGGAAACACACAGGATAAGAAGTTAGCTTCTGTATGGTCACAGAAAACTCCTCAAACAACTCTCCCTCTTAAAAAACACATTTCCACTGAAACCGGTTTGGCTCAGTGGATAGAATGCAGGCCTGCTGACTGAAAGGTCCCAGGTTCAATTCCGGTCAAGGGCATGTACTTTGGTTGTGGGCACATCCCCAGTGAGGGGTGTGCAGGAGGCAGCTGATCGATGTTTCTAATTCTCTATCCCTCTTCCTTCCTCTCTGTATAAAATCAATAAAATATATTAAAAAACAAAAAGCAAAAACACATTTCCTCACACATGAATTTAATTCAATTCCTAATAACTGTTATCCTGGGAAAAGCATTGCGTTCTTGCTATAGAGTCTTTTAAAATGGAAATATTTACTAGGGGCAGTATATTAAATCCATAAGATCCTATCTAATAAAAGGGTAATATGCAAATTAACTATCACTCCCAGACAAAAATGACTATACCCATAGCCACAAAGATGGCAGTGTAGGCCAGAGCCAGGAAGCCAGCAGAGCAGTAACAAAGGAAGTCAAGCCTCCTGCATGCCCAGGCCGGCTGCTGAGGGAGACATGCAGTGAGTGCAGTGGGGAGGTATGCAGGGAGTGAGTGATATTCCCTGTCTTGGGAGTTCCAAATTCACAATTGGTTCCTTCACCACTGATTCCCCTCTTCACAGGTATCCTCCAGGCAAAAGCTGTTCCGTGCAAATATGTCATGTCCTAATGGGTGAATTCTAAACCAAATGAGTGTCACATCTGGGCAACCTAACTCCCGTTAGAAAAAGGACCTGGGAGGAGGGATTTAGGAATCACCAAGCCCTCGTGACCTGCTCAGTCTCTGGAACTGCTGACAAACACAGGCAGTCTGAGACTCTCCCAAACACCACCTGAGCTAAACCTGAGAACCAAGATATTTTCAGGGCCCAAAGTTCAGAGGGTAAGGAGTCAGAGGAGCAAAGCAAGCAGAACAGCCAGCTCAACCAAAGAACAGGAGCCTAAGATAGTGCAGAGAAATGTCCTGGCCATTGATGCTCTCCCACAGACATGGTGCCAACACCAGCTTGGGGAGGTGGTGTGTACGTGCAGAATTTAAGGCTACTGGCAGGAGGGAAAGTTGAAGCATGCCTAAGGATTTTTTTGTACATGTCCAACAGTCGAGAAGCAGAGTCGGAATCAAGAAGCAAAGTCTTACCTCAGCACGGGGGTATTTAAAAGTTCCATCACCAAGTCCACTGCCATGTTTGTCATGGAAGGAAGGCATGAAGAGGACTTTCAGGGCAGTCCTATAAAATCTGGGACAACCGCAGCTCTTGAGAGGGAGAGACTGGAGCACTTATGGTGTTCAAAGAGCTAATCCTGCAAACCTTGGCCTATTTGGAATCTTGGTGCTGCTGGGAGTTGCTGGTCCCGCCTTCTCCAGCAAGGTGGAGAAAGACTGAGAGAGGAGAGGCAGGTACGGTGATTCCAATGGTCCAAATTCTGTCATTGTCTCTGTTACCAAGCCTCTGTGTCCTCCAGGACAGCCTCAGTACCAGTGCAGAAGAAGCTTTGGAGAGGGTGGTGGTGAGGAGAATGCTTCTGAATCTGGATACCCAGTGAAACCACTGTCAAGAGCCTTTCTAGGTCTGGCAAGAAAATACAGCAATGAAGGAAGAATAATGTCTCAAAATGAAGAGGTTGGTTGTTGTTTTTTCTCATCCACAAAATGTGAATATTACCTAAACCACAGACTTTGCAAGAATTAATTGAAATAATATTCCAGAAATTGAATAACAGCCAGGCTGAAGTGAATAGATTGGATGAGCATGTACATGGTCCTGTGCACCAAAAGGCTGCAGGTTCAATTCCAGGTCAGGGAACATACCTGGCACATAACTGGGTTTCAAGTCAGGCCTCCTAAGGAAGGAAATTGAAGGGATGTTCTTATAATGATATTTCTCTCTCTCTATCCCTCCCCCTACTCTCTTTAAAAATCAATGGAAAATGAACTAATGCCATATCTACAAATGTGGATAATCTAAAAAGAAAGAAGAAAGAAAAAAAAAGAAGTGGGGAGTGGCTAACCAGTTTGGTTCAGTGGATAGACCATAGGCCTGTAAACTGAAGGGTCTCAGGTTCAATTCTGGTCAAGGGCCTATACCTTGATTGTGGGCACATCCCCAGTTGGGGGTGTGCAGGAGGCAGCTAATTGATGTTTCTCTTTCATTGATGTTTCTAACTGTATTCCTCCTCCTTCCTCTCCATAAAAAAATCAATAAGATATATTTAGAAAAAGAAAGAAAAAACATGGTAAAAGAGGTTGAATTTACTGTATAATTTAAAGCATATTATTTTACATGCTTTAAATTATACGGCGCATATGTTATCTATACTAATAAAAAGGTAATACACTAATTAAACCAGGTTGACCGAGATATTGAGGTTGAGGATAGGGCATGTGACTGTGGAGTTTAGGGAACAAATCTAGGATAGATATACAAATTTGGAAGTCATTGTTTCTTGTTCATCATACTTTAAGCCATAAAACTGGAAGAATTCACCAACAGTGTGACTAAAGATAGACAAAAGAAGAAATCCAAGAAGGCTAGGGCATTCCATTGTTTGTAGTTGGGAATATTTAGAAGAAACAGCAAAGAAGATTTTGAAGAAGTGTCCATGGATGATATGGGAGAAAGGCAGGAATGTGTGGGTCTTGGAGCCAAATGAAGAAAATTTTTCCCAAAGGCAGGAGTAATCAGCTATGTCAAACTCTTTTTATAGTTTAGGTAAGATGAGAACTGAGAATGGCTGATTGGATTTAGTAACATGGAGGTCATGGGGGAAAAGATGATTGGAATAAAAGTATGATTTGGAGTGAATTATCTTCCAGGGAGTTTCCATAAGAGTGTCAACTGATTTTTCTTTTTCTTTTCTTTTTTTTTTTTATAATATATTTTATTCCTCCAGAGAGGAAGGGAGAGGGATAGAGAATTAGAAACATAGATCAGCTGCCTCCTGCACACCCCCCACCTGGGATGTGCCCACCACCAAAGCACATGCCTGCCCCTGACCGGAATCGAACCCGGGACCTCTCAGTCCACAGGCCAACGCTCTACTGCTGAGCCAAACCTGTCTTGGCTGTCAACTGATTTTCAACAGAAATTTTGCATGCCAGAAGGGAGTGGCAAGAAATATTCAAAGTGATGAAAAGCACAAATCTACTGTAAAACAGTAGAATCAAAGGACAGATAAAGAGCTTCCTGGATAAGAAAGAGCTAAAGGAGTTCATCACCACAAAACCCATATGTAAGAAATGTTAAAGGATTTTCCGTAAGAAGAAAAAACGATTAAAAATCAGCATTTCCCAAACTTTTGACCTATGTGTACCCCTTCTATAATTTTCGTAACGCTGAGTACCCCTCGTACTCATGAGAACGTAGAATTAGGCGCAGCTAAGCACGGTGCAGTGCATATCTCCACCAAACTCCGGTACAACACGCACCCCTACCAAACTCTTCCCGTATTCCTGGGGGTTCGCGTACCACACTTTGGGAAACACTGAATAAAAGAAAAATATGCTAATTGAATATATCATCACTACACCCACAGCCAATCAGGAATGATATGCAAATTAACCCAACAAAAGTGGTAGGTAAATTTGCACATGCAGGCAGGGCAGGTAGCACCAGATGCTGCCCTCAGGGTCCAGGCCACAATCGGGGACTTGGGCAGATGGCACGGGCAGTGCCTGACGCCTCCTGCAGTGTCTAGGCCATAATCCTGACTAGGCAGGCAGCACCTGTTGCCACTTGCGAGTCCAGGCAATGATCAGGGACCAGGCAGGCAGAGCAGGCAATGCCAGATGCCACCTGTGGGGTTCAGGCTGCAATCAGGACTGAACAGGCGGGGATGGTTAGTGTCTCTGGGATCACTGTCTGCCCTGGGCCACCTGAGGACACCAGTGAAGCAGGCCCAGGTTGAACATTTTAATGAAATTGGGATGCCTTGTCCCCAGCCCTGTCCCTGGTGAGGAGAGGGCAGTGGGCCTTGGAAGGGACTGGGAGAAACCTCCAGGTGAGCTACCAGGAAGAGGTGCTGAACCATGATGACACAAAGGGCTTGCTGATGGAGGTTCGCAATGATACAGAAAAAGTGGCTCTCGCAGGTACTGAGCTCAAAAAGTGCATTGACAGTCTGATGGATGAAATCGCCTTTCTGAAGGTGTATAAAGAGGAGATTGCCGAGCTGCAGGCACAGACCCAGTACGCTCAGATCTTCATGAAGATGGACATGTTCTCCAAGTCTGACCTCTCTGTCATGCTCAAGGACATTCACACCCACCATGAGAAGCTGGCTGCCAAGAACATGCAGAATGCTGAAGAATGGTTTAAGAGCCACTTCCCCATGCTGACTGAGAGTGCTGCAAAGAACACCTATGCTGCCAAGGACGAGGTGTCCAAGAGCCACTGCCTGCTCAAGGCCAATACCCTGAAGACTGAAGAAAGCTGGGGCATAAACAAAGTGCTCGGAAAGCAGCTGCAAGATCTGGAGGATAACCAGAATGCCTACGTTAGTGCTATGCAGGACACAATCAACAAATTAGAAAATGAGTTGAGAACTACAAAGAATGAAATGGCTCAATATTTAAAAGAATACCAAGACCTTCTAAATGTGAAGATGGCTTTGGACATTGGCATTGCAACTTACAGGAAACTCTTGGAAGGTCAGGAGACCCAGGTCAGTTTCACCAGCGTGGGAAGCAGAGCCAGCTGCTACTCCCAGAGTTCCCAGGTCTTTGGTCCATCCGCCTACGGTGGTTTACAGACTAGCTCCTACTTGATGTCTGCTCGCTCCTTCCCTTCTAAATACACCATCCCCGTCCAGTAGGAGCAGCTCAAGATAGAGGAGACCATTGAGGCTGCAAAAGCCGAAGAAGCTAGGGAAGAACCCCCTCTGAAAGAGAAGCTTAAGAGGAGGAGAAGGATAAAGAAGTGACTGAGGAAGAGGAAGAAGAGGAAGAGGAAGAAGGTTCCAAGGAAGAATTTGAGGATGCAAAGGAGGAAGAAGGAGGTGAAGCTGAAGGAGAAATGCCCAAGAAGCTGAGGACAAGAATAAAGATGAAGGTGCTGGGGAGAAGCAATCAACCAAGAAGAAAGATTGAGCCCCCCTTTCCTTAATTATTTCAGGAATAATCCACCTGAAACCAGGTCAACCCTGTCACCAACTACGCGGTTGAGTTCTATATGAATTAAGAAGTCAATATATATAACATTCGGGTTGGACATTAAATGTTGTGCTATGACTTTTCTCCTTTTGCAGAGTATCTGTTTGCTTGCAGAGAGGCTTCCTGGCTTGCTGTCAGCCTGTGCATGGTCCACGCTTATGAGTTCAGGACCTATGACAATGTGAGTAATTCAGATGTTTACAATAAAAACACATGAATACATGAATTCACTAATGTCAATGTTAAACTTCATAGAAAAAATAATCCTTTGAATCTTTGGTGGTTAGAAATTAAAGACCTCAAATCATGTGCAATAAACAGTAAATAAAGTTACACTGAATGACAAAAAAAAAAAAATACATTAGGGGCCAGGAAATGTTCAAAGAACTGGTTAGGAGCAATCAAGCAGGCAGGCAGGTGAGCAGTTAGGAGCCAGCAGTCCCAGATTGCAAGGGGTTGTCTGACTGCCAGTTTAGGCCCAATCCCACAAGGGTCCCAGATTGGAGAGGATGCAGGCCAGGCTGAGGGACCCCCCTCCCTGTATATGAATTTCATGTACCGGGCCAATAGTATGGATAATAAAATGCCAATAAATAAATATATATATATATATATATATATATATATATATATATATATATATATATATATATATATATATATATATATATATATATATATATATATTTTAATTTTAATTTTCTTTCTAAAGAAAATATATGCATTTGCATAATGCATTTTAGGAAAATAGATGGTACAACTAGCTCTAGATAGATATTTGATAATTTTTTCCAGCCACATAAAGCTCTGTAAATTAGTGACAAGCAGATGTTATCTCATTATCTTCAATGCAGAGCCTTCAGTGCAGCCTGGGAGCTTTTGAATCATCTGTTTTTGTACCTACATGAAAAACTTTGAGCTCAGCCCTTTTCTCCTTCTTCCTTTTGCATTGACACATTAGTAGGCTATATGAACTCTGAAGATCAAATTGATTTCTATTTCTATGCTGGAAAATGCTCACTTTGTGAATAAGAACGTTTTTCACAATGTGGATTTGAAGTCATGATTAACAAACATAGATGTGAGACCTTGAAATATGAAGCCAATCATGAGTGTGTCTATAATAGACACAGGTAAATTATTTATTGCAGAAGCTTATTTAGGTGGATATTTTATGGGTGGTTGGATGTTAAGGATGAATAGCATTAAGGGTTAGGGCTTATGCATGACCAGATTTCTTACTCACTCCCTCACACACTTTGATACAGAACACCTGGAAAGAATTTTAATAAATTTGTTCAGTGATTGGAAATATTTTTTTTTCAAATAAACTGATATTACATTTGCACTTTTAGTGCATTGGATTCTTATGGCTAATCTTATAGTGCATCATGAGATATGCTTATACTTAAATTTATAATGACTTACACACACACACACACACACACACACACATGAGAGAGAGAGAGAGAGAGAGAGAGGGAGGGAGAGAGAGAGAGAGAGAGAGAGAGAGAACTAATCTATACTAATAAAAGATAATATGCTAATTAGACCAGGTTGACCAACCATCCTCTGGACTTCTGATTTCCTTCTGGACAAAGCCATGGTGGTGAGGGCCAAGGCAGAAAGGGCAGTTGGGGCAAGATCAGACTAGCAGGAGAGGGCAGTTAGGAGTGATCAGGCAGACAGGCAGAGGCAGTTAGGGGTATCAGGCAGGGAGTCAGAAAGGTTAGGGGCACTCAGGCAGGCAAACAGAGGAGTTAAGGGCAATGAGGCAGGCAGGTAGGTGAGTAGTTAGGAGCCAGAGGTCCCAGATTGGAGGAGGGATGTCCAACTGTCAATTTAGGCAGTCAAACACCCCCAATTGGAGAGGGTGCAGGCTGGGCCAAGGGACCCCCTTTCTCTGTGCACAGATTTTGTGCACTGGTTCACTAGTCTATCATAAAGGCCCCACATGGCTTCTTCCAATCCTAAGTACCTCCCAAAGGCCCCATTTTAAAATATCACCACATTGGGGGCTCACACTTCATCATATGAATTTTGGGGGTGCAGACATTCGGTCCAACACACTCACAGAGATCATTTCTTGTTCATAACTACTTATCTATAGCCACTATTCCCACTCTGTCAAGACAGTTTCTTTTGCCTCTGACATTCCTGCTGATCCAAAAGGTGAGCTAAGAGAAATAAAACACATGACTAATGAGTGAGAAGAATGACATAAAGGTATAGTGGTGGAACGAATTAACTTAGACCACTCTTGGGAGTAGAACCAATGAAGAGGCCAGAATATTATTATTTTAATCACTGGAAAAAAATTTTAGAGTAAAATCCAAAAGCATATGAAGCTCAGTCAGACAAAGAGTGATAACCAGTGCACTGACGTGGTACTGAGAAGCTTGCCAAGGGGCTTCTGGAGTGGCCTGGCTGATGACACGAGGCAGATACCAAACCCAAGGATGGATGGGCCTGGAGACCTACAGGGATTTCTCTGGAACATATCAGAGATGTGTGGGTCTGGAGGCTAGGACGTGTCTTCCTCTGCAAATTCCCAAATTCATGCATCTGTGTGGTTATTCACTAGTTACAGTAACCACAGTACCCCAGCAGCTGTTTTTGTTTCAATGACTCAGCACAGGAAAATGAAGGTGGAGAACTTCTTAAACCACTCCAATCATGTCACTCTGTCAGATGTAGACACAGCTCTGATTAGCTAAGGTGTCTTACCCTGGCTCTGCAGGGGTGACATGGACATTGAGATCCTGGAGTGTGGCTGCAGGGAAGTGCAGCCTCACTCAGTGGGTAACTAGTTCACATTGCTTTCCTATCATATAAAATTAGTGCAATGTTTCCTCTATATAAAACCTCTGGAAATATTTGTCTGTTCTAACAGTCCCTCTACCTAAGAGGAGATAGAACACCATTTTAAGTGCAGTCTGTCAGTCAAGATTTGAGTTTTCTTCCCCTTAAATATCAATTGTTCAAGTCGTGGTACAAAGAAAGCCAACTGTGGGAGAAGGATCAAAGAATTAAGTTAGCAAGCCCCATTCTTTTTTAAAAATATATTTTTTTTATTGATTTCAGAGATGAAGGAAGAGAATAGAAATAGAAAAATCAATGATTCAAGACAACTATTGATTGGCTGCTACCTGCATGCCCCACACTGGGGACCAAGCCTGAAACCAGGTATGTGCTCTGAACAGGAATCTAACTGTGACCTCCTGGTTCATAGGTCAATGTTCAACCACTGAGCCATGCTGGCCGGGCGAGAGTCCCATTCTCGAGATACTTTGTGGAGCTGGTCTTTTCGACTTGAGCACTCTGTTTCTGAAATTTAAAGCCTACCGTGCTGGTTAGAAAAGCTACCGATGATTTAGCTGCTGTGCTATTATCCACACTAATAATTACCTCCATTAATGGGAGAGTCTTTGGATTAGGAATTATGTATTATTCACCAATGTATCTTAGGCATTTAGTGTTTTAATGAATGGAATAATTATGTTTGAACTAGATTTTTATAAAAACAGAGGCAAGATGGGCATTAAGGTATTTACTATATTCATATAACTAGTATATCCCTAACTTAGACAAATGAAAACAAAACAAAACAAAACAATTCTTTCAAAACTAGGGCCAGTGGCATGCCATGTTCACATCAAAATTCAATGAGGAAGTTGTTTCCCCTTCTCATTGCCCTTCACTTTCCTGGAATGGGATGATTCTAATAATAATAACATATAGCCACCTGTTGCATTCTTATTACAGTTAAAGAACCGTGGTATACACTAAAGATAATAACACTAGCAATAGCTAATATTTGAGTAGTTGCTATGTGTAAGGGGGGGCACTAGTAATTTCTATGCAATAATTACTTAAACTGTATCAGTCCCATGTTGCAAGTGAGGAAACTAAGACATAGAGGGAAGGGCATGTGCCCAATATCACTCAGCTGGTAGGTGTGAAGTTAGATACTGAACTTCTGCAAAAGTGCTGACTGTTAACCCTCTCAGGGCTGCAGCTGGGTGCTCAGGCTACCTCCACTGCCCTTTAGGTGCTTCTGAACAAATTACAAAGTGCATCTTCCTCAATAATAAAACTGTTATACACATAAGCCATTCTTTAGGAATTATGCAAATTGAGTTATTAAACATAAAATAACATATATTTTTAATTCTTAATCAAACATTGGAAAGTAGCCTATGGGATATAAAAATATATTTCAAAATATACTATACAAAAATATATTTCAAAACAACTTCCACAGATATTAAATAACTATAGCAAATTGAATGCTTACTTTCTCCAATGCCTTCTTTTCTATAAAAATAGTTTCCAGCCAAAACCGGTTTGGCTCAATGGATAGAGCGTCAGCTTGGGGACTGAAAGGTCCTGGGTTCGATTCCGGTCAGGGGCATGTACATTGGTTGCGGGCACATCCCCAGTAGGGGATGTGCAAGAGGCAGCTGATCGATGTTTCTCTCTCATTGACATTTCTAGCTCTCTATCACTTTCTCCTCCTCTCTGTAAAAAATCAATAAAATATATATTAAAAAATTATCTTAAAAAAATAGTTTCTAGACTTGTGTTACACCCCTCAAGCATTAGGAGTTTATACATTTTAATTTTTAAGAATATATTTTCTCCACTGGAGACTAAATTAGAAAGTTAACTGTGTCTTGAGAGCTATAAAAGTATTTGGATGTGTCTAATAAAATATTCCTGAAAGTATAATGTGTATATATATTTGATTTTTGAATATATAATAGTGTTTAAGAAAAAGTCTCACCATATTGCACATGCTGTTATCAAACTTTGTTTAAAAATTGTGCTAAGAAAATTTAACATGAGATCTGGCCTCTTAACAAATTGTGAAGTTTGGTCATCCTTGTCTTCCTGCCCCTCCAGCAGAGAGAATGGCAGCCCACCCAGCTCCCAGCTTTAAATCTATCTCTGTGTCTTCTCTCTTTATTTCTAATATTTCTCAATCCCTGGTCATCTCC